CTGACACCTCGTCATCACCACGTGCTCCTGACACCTCGTCATCATCACGTGCCCTGGTCTCCCAGTTCGTCCCGGGACCACCATCATCGAGCAGGTCACGTGAGCCTAAGAAAATAAATACTGGTAATCTTTAATTTGTTGTCACTATCCGACCAATCTCATCAGGCCGCCCTAGTTAATTTCAACTCATTTTTCTGAGCTTAATTCTTCTTACCCTGGCCTTGAAAATCCTCCGAGTCGGAGTCAGTCCAACAATAATTAAATGTGGTTAGATCTCAACGATCCGATTGATCATTATTATTCTTTATACATCATCCTAAAATATGGGTTTAATTCATATATAAGTATTAGGCAATGCAATTTTATCACGAGAGATGGAATTCACTCTTAGGTTGCACCACAATTAATTATGTGTTTTCAATGGACAATTATGTGTTTGTGCATGCGTACGGATGTTCATCTCGCAACATTCGAAATATGGACGCTATTTTTTGTACTCTGAGTCCTGATTAAGTATATCACGTATATGAGCGATGAATGTTGTTAATGCATGTGGACTGTTGGTCAATTTATTTGCAGTTTTGTTGTCAGACTATAATGATTCACATGGAACGATAGAAGGAAGAAATATATGATAAGGTTTATGTCATATAATTTTAATGCTAATTTGCAAAACCAACATAACTTTCTGAGCAGTGAGCACATGATTCAACAACCGGTATGAAATTTATGATCTGCAGGCACTGCTAAACTTCACCTGCTGAGCTCACATGCTTCATGTCGGCAATTCTGTTGTAATGCCTCACAGAGTTCTGCTTCAACATAATGACCGTCAAGTCACCTAACTTCAATTAGGTAGTACAATGTTAAAGACAGATACTAAACAACTGAACACGACAATGAAACTTATAGTATCATAAAACGGTCGCATGGCAAACTAAACTATAATCACCTCACGGCGTTCAAACTTCAGACACATAAGTAGTATAGTATCTTCGGCATTAAAGAATAGGCCTAGATAGGCCTGTCGCCGATTCTTGTGCTTTTCTTGACTAGACTGGCCTTTTGATCAGATCTTTTCAACGGACGGTAGACTTAAAATCGCTGCTAGATATCAATTGAAAAGATCTGATTTTCAACTGATTTAGAGTGTTTTAAAATTTAATAGAGTTAAACTAAAAAAACAGCGTTGGAACACATCCATGCGACAACATTTCTTCTCGCTTCGAGTTACCGACATGCGGAACAGCCTCCCTGATAGCATCGTTGACGCTCCGAGTATGAACATCTTCAAAAACAGACTAGACGAAGCTATGCAGGAGCATATGTTCATTGTTCAGTCTTAAAATGCCTAGCAAATTACGGACCATGCAATAAGTCCAGCAGCTATCTCAATCAATCGTCAGCTATGGAAAGATCGGGTTCCAAAGGCCGGATCCCCTGTGAATCAAGTCACGAAAAGTTCAAGAAACGGCAACAGGCCATGTGCCTATTTCTTCAACGCCGACAATTCTATTCTATTCTAGTTGTTCCGTAGGGTACGAGGCATTTTAAGACAAACATATGCTCATGCATGGCCTTGTCTAGTCTGTTCTTGAACGCGTTCATACTCGGAGCGTCAACAATATCTTCAGTGAGGCTGTTCCACATGTCGGTGGCTCGAAACGAGAAGAAATGTTGTCGCGTGGATAAGTTGCACCGCAGTATTTTTAGTTTATAGCTGTGGCCCCTGATGTTGGTTCTTGTTTCAAATTCTAGTAATCCTTCTGGGACCTTGTATAAGCCATGAGTATACTTGTATACTTCAATGAGGTCACCGCGCAGGCGACGATAACTGAGACTGGGAAGCTTCATAATCTTCAATCTTTCTTCATGAGACTTGCGCTTTAATCCTGGAATTATCCTTGTTGCAAGTCTTTGAACACTCTCAACTAAATGTATCAATTAGATTAGAAATTTATCAATTATTAAGTAGATCAATTTCTATACTGAATAAAAAAATTTTTATTAGTAGAAAAATTGGCACCTGATTTGTACCTGCCCTTTTGTACGAGTGTCTACGTTTATGTAGCATTTCTTCTAACCATCAATTGACTCTTCTTTTGAGTTACTAACGTTGGCTCATTTCTTGCCAGTTTCGCTAGCCCGCCACTTGAGACCTCCCGTCCATTGTGGGTGATTAAGAATTTGAGAAATTTTCAATAATTTAGACCTTCCGCTTCGCTGGTGTTCTTATATTCCAAATTTCAAACAGATCCGTTCAGTTTTGAAGGACTTATGACTTGTTTGGTTGCATATAAATTAAAAAATTAAGTTTGATTGTAATAAAGGAAAATGAAATAATATGAAAATCTAATTGTTCCTATCGCAGGGTATTGATGATACATACTCATGTTTCAAATTTACAGCAGATCCGTTTAGTTTTGAAGGATTTATGATTTGTTCGGTTGAGCGAAAAGTTGGGATTTGCGTTTGAGTTGACAGACTCTATCACTCAATAATATCAATCACTCGATAGAGCTAATATTAGTATAAACTGGATAAGTAGAAATCGAGAATAATTTTCGAAGTGAACGCCTGTTTTTGCTTCCTAATTAAGTGAAATATATTATTCATACTTATAGATAGATAGATGTGAAAAAAACTTAGTAGGCAGTGTAGCTGTAGGGTAAAATTTAAGTTTGTAAAGGGTAAGACGGCTTATGAAAGGTTATGATGGTGTTGACTGTTGATCATGGTTACCATTTAGCAAAAACGTAAAAATATGACTGATTCAGAATTTTGCTTGCCCTCAATGTACTTACCGGTGTGGATGCAGTTCCTGCAGAACTTGCAGGCTGCAGAGGTTAGCACGGTCAGGCTGGGCATAATATTTTAGTTCTTGCCTCTTGGTTCCAATTTCCAAAGTTCAGAACACTGTTGAGTGTTGACACTTTTGATTTCTGAATCCTCTTTAATATTTGTAATGATGTATTTTAATGCACTAGTCCATAAACAGGAATCAGTTAATATATTTTGATGAACGACGTGATTAATATTATCAAACAGAAGTTTCCTAGAATTCCCGCTAAAATGATTGCTTCACAAGTTCACACTGTTCACAGGTGATTTACAAAAATTGCTTATGAAAAGTGGCCTATTTCCTAGTATCAATTTCCTTTCAATGTTGCTAAAGAAATTGAAAAAAGACCATAGGAATGGGCATTGGGCAAAATTGGGCTGCTGGGCAGATTCACAGTAATTTTTTGTCCAATTCACAGGTATCTTTTGCCCAATTTTCCACGTAGACCGTAGTACTTGGGCCTCCTGATCTTATATTCTCAATTTTCTCATCACACAGTGGCAATCCAGTGACTTTTTAGGATTGGTTAATTTTTAACTATCACTATCAGTAGCAAGCCTGGCAATCAAGTGATTTTTTAGTATCAGTTCAATTTTAATTATCTCATTTACTCAAGATTTAAACCAATATGTTATGTATGATGATGCTGGTATCCATGATACCTACCTTGCTGGTCTATTTGCATGACTTAAAATTGAACTCAAAGGAGAGTCTAGAAACTCTCTGCTTTGCCACTATACAGGCTCATCAGATACTGCTCACTGCTCAGTCTGCTTTTAACTTACTGTTAATATGCTAATCAACACTTCAACACTTTCAACTAAAACCACATAATACTGGTCAGTGGTGAGTGATCAGAATTAAAATTTATTGCTTTTTATCACCAGGCAGGACCTGGTAAACGAGAAAACCACAGCCTCAGCACTTGGTAAAAGCGACCACGCCACACTCCTCATCAACGTCGCCTGCAACTATCAGAAACCGAAAAAGCCAGCACGACCAAACTTTCTCAAAGCAGACTACAGCCGGATGGGGGAGGACCTCGACCGCGTTATCTGGGATGAGGAGCTTGGAGAGAAGGATGTAAATGAGGCATGGACAGTTTTCAGGACCCTCCTGGAAAACATGATCGAGAGATTTGTACCGACAGTCCGAAACTCGGGGGTACAGAAGAAGAAATGGCTTGACTGTGGAACCTTGACCTCTGTCCGCAAAAAACATAAGTTGTACCGGCGTTGGCTGCAGACACAAGCAGGTGAGGACTACAGAGCGTATGCCAAAGCCAGGAACCAAGCAGCAAGAGCATGCCGTGCTGCCAAGCAAAAACTAGAGGCGACCATTTAAAAAATGATTGAATAATTTTTTATAGCTCAGCATGCCCTGACGTGGAATATACCTTATTTGCCATGACTAGAGCATCCCCACCCTTTTTGTAACTGCAACCACACTGCAATCCACTCCATTTACTTACCTTTTTGTTGATAATAGTCTCCATAATAACTTATCTCTTTCTCTCATATATCTCGCATTCCATCATCTGGAGCTAAGGTTACAATCACACCCTCACCATACATGAAAATATCCTTTTGTTCCAAAAAATTTTTTTTTAATCAGTAGACAGGCTTGAGACATGAAAAAGCCCTGGCTCTTATGTTACTTGTGTTTCTAGTATTTTAGAGATTTATGATGTAATGTTTGATTTGATTTTTTCAGATTTTCACATAGAGTAACTTAGGTTGAGAATGCTGCAAGCAGGCAGCGCTGTACGAGGCCTGTGCAAGGCCATCAGGCCTTCAGCACCTATTGTTAAGGCAGCAGACAAGGCAATGGCTGCCCATGCTTTACCTGCCACTCTAGTCTTGTCCCGCAGTCAGTCCAACAAGCCGGTTGTGGCTGATAATCGGGTTGAGGTGTTTGTGGATGACATTCCAGTCATGGTGGAACCTGGCACCACTGTCTTGCAGGTTTGCCCTCTTTATTGTAAGTCCATATTATATATTTCAGTTCAATTAGCCTGTGTTCTTACATTTGCCTGTAAGCTGCTTGTGCTGTGATATTGATCTTACCATTATTTGATCAAAATCCCAGGGTTTGCATTATTTGCCAGTGGGAATTATTTTATGCTTTTTACTGTTATTACTGTATCAATCATCCTATTAAAAATATTCAATCGATGTTCTAGAATTTCTTTCAGCTTGAAGGTTTTTGTATAGAGCAGGTGTATACATACTATAGGGATAGATCAATAAAATATTAATTGTACTATTCAGTGTAAATATGTTCAGCATATGTTTTCCCAAACTTAAATATGTTGTTGTGGTTTGGATGAATGTTATGGTTAAAGTCTAATTCAATAGTACATATTATGTTTACAATTTTACATCACCAAAATTTTCCTGTCTGACATTTCAATCCAACTGTTGCACAGTTGCATCAGTAACTGGGGGTCATTAAGCTGTTAATTTGAGAGCTAACAGTTTCCTAGCATCTATAAAAAATGATTTTTTTACAGGCAGCAGCCATGGCAGGAGTGGAAATTCCTCGCTTTTGTTACCATGAAAGGCTCTCTGTTGCTGGCAACTGTCGCATGTGTCTGGTGGAGGTGGAAAAAGCTGCTAAGGTTTGTTCATTGTTTTTACTTTACCTTGTTATGCTTCCTGATATTATGTTCATTTATTGATAGAACATTATGTTCTGCTTCTCTATATTATGTTCATTTATTGATAGTACATTATGTTCTGCTGCCTGATATTACGTTCATTTATTGATAGAACATTATGTTCTGCTGCCTGATATTACGTTCATTTATTGATAGAACATTAGACATTTTTTGGATATTTAACTGTTCTTGACTTCTTGCATCCACCACAGTAAACAATGTGTTGCAATGCCCCAACATTCTTTAGACTTTGGATTGTTTGGCTAAGCTCATCAAACATTCCTGTATGAAAGTGGAGTATCTTGCTCATATCTGTGAGCTACTTTTTTTATTTAAAATTTCTATTCTGTGTCCAAATTTTCTGTGAAAATTGCATTTCAACAATTGATGTTACTTTGTAGCCTGTAGCGGCTTGTGCAATGCCAGTGATGAAGGGCTGGCGCATCAAGACCAACAGTGAGATGACACGCAAGGCTCGTGAAGGCGTCATGGAGTTCTTGCTAATTAATCACCCGTTGGATTGCCCCATATGTGATCAGGGTGGTGAATGTGATCTTCAGGTGAGGAAACTTTCATGTATGTTTCTTCAATTTGTTCATGCCTTTAATTTGAGCAATTCCTTCTTTTTAGCAGTGTGCCATAGTTTGTTGCGTTGATAAATTAGTTCTTATTTTACAATATTACCATCATTGCATTGGTACTCATTGGAATTGCATCATTTAAGTTGAATGTAAAAGTAGGACACATAGAGAGGGTAATTGATTTGTTCTAGGTTCCATCATGGAAGAGGCTCAAAGTTTCATACAAATGAGAAATGTATATGAAATCCTATCCCCTTTCAATATAATTTCAACCATCTATGCAAGTTTTTCAAAGCCATATGAAATATATGAAACTGAGGAAAAAACTAAATTTTGAAGGTATTGTAGGCCATCATTGTTGATAAATTGTTTTAAGACTCCATGCATGACGCAGTAACAGCAGGACGGTCAGGAATTGCATATGCCCGGTGCATTTCAGGCAATGTGCTTGAGCCTTCCAAGCCCCCTATGTTGTACTGAAATTAAAAACGTTTTTCTGTTGAAGAACTCAGTCCATCTCGTAGTAGTTATTTGCATCAATTTCTTTAATCTCGTAATCTTGTATATGAAATTTTGTAATAACATTCGAAAACTATCTTCAGAAATTCTTAAGATTTCTGTCTTCTGTGGCTCTGTGCCAAAAAAAAAAAAAATTGATGAACATGAACACGTTACGTACATTCCAGTCCAATCTAAGGCTCTCTATATTAAGTTGGTTGAGCTATCTTCAATAGCACAGAACTAACGTGTATAAAAAAAGACAGGTGATTTTAACATAATGTGATTATGATTATTACTAATGATTATTGGTTTATGAATACAGTTAAGGCAATGCCCTGTTGTTGCAGGACCAATCGATGGCATTTGGCTCAGACCGCACCAGGTTCCTAGACCCGAAACGAGCCGTGGAGGACAAGAACCTGGGGCCGCTTGTCAAGACCATCATGACACGCTGCATCCACTGCACCCGCTGTGTCCGCTTTGCCTCTGAGGTAGCATTGCGCTTATAAGTGTTCTGGGTATTGCTTTTTAATATGAGGATTGGCATCAATTTTAAACATGGAACAAGGGTATTTATGAAAGGTAATACTCCTGAAGTTGAACATTCCTCTGCCTAAAAACTCTCATAATTCAAGAAGGTACTTAAAAGAGGGAATATTTTACCCCAATCGTTTTTAAGTAGTATTTACATGTTTTCAAAGCTCCTATATCAAAAGTAAAATTAAAAATTTTACCATTGAAGTTGAAACCTTTATTTTTAAATTATCATATCCTAACATTTATGTAGTTAACAAACTTAACTTACAACACATATCAAATATATATCCCTTTTTCTGAATGAGCTGGCAATAATGTTTGAACAAATTGTGATAGAAGGCCTGTAACGGATGACTTTCACAACTTCATTATTACTAAAATGAAATTGACATCACTTTGCAATTTCTTGTTAATGATTTTACTTGTCAGTTCGGGAACGAATATATTTTATGGCATAAATTTACAGTGTTCTTACGGAATAACGTATTGTAAATTCCTTACTATGAGGCATGGGCCAAAAATGCTAGTATGTCATATTACTGATAATTCTGAGTGTGAGGTTATTGTTGAAAATATAACGCGCTTAGGCCTATTAAAATTGCTTGGTTTAGTAATTTTGCTACATAGTATTTAATATATATCCAAGAGTTGGTATCCTTGGTCCACCTTCACTACACATGAGAAATAAGATTTATTAACTGCCTGCTTCTGAATGTATTGTATATGTCCTTGGTCAGGTGGCGGGCGTAGAAGACCTGGGCACGACTGGCCGAGGCAACTCCATGGAGATCGGCACCTACGTTGAGAAGATGTTGCTGTCCGAGCTGTCTGGGAATGTGATAGACTTGTGCCCTGTGGGCGCCTTGACTTCCAAGCCCTACAGCTTCAGTGCCAGGCCCTGGGAGCTACGGCGCACTGACAGCATCGATGTCTTTGACGCTCTGGGCTCCAACATCACCGTCAACCACAGAACTGGCGAAGTGCTCAGGATTCTCCCCAAGACAAATGAGGTGAACTTTAGAGTCACTGCGTTACTTTCTGTGTAGTTTCTTTACCTCTTCTTTTCTTTTCTCTGTAGTGTTTAATATTTTAAGTTATATATTCATGATGCATGCGCTTTTATCATCTTAAACATCCTGGAAGTACTAACAAGCTCTGTGTAGGCTTTTTGTCGTGACATTAATAAAAAAGGTACTGTGATGGTTTACAGCAGAATGATTGATCTTACACCAGTGAGATGTATTTCTGCCTCGTTTGCATTTAATGCGCTGCACGTCAGTCACCCATACTCAGCATCTGACTTATCAATAATATTGAGTCAAATACCGGTATATATTTCTCACCTGCACTTTATTCATAGTCTTGACTACTGGGTGCTCACACTGTGAGCAGAAATATGTGTGACTGTCCAAATAGCAATACACTTCTTGGCCCTGTGTGGGTGACCAAGTGCGTCACTTTATTTGTACAATATGAGCCATTGCCTTTTATGAGTGCAGGATATCAACGAGGAATGGCTAAAGTGTCAAACAATTTGGACAACATAACCTATTAATTTGTCTGAGTGCAGGACATCAACGAGGAATGGCTGGCAGACAAGGCGAGGTTTGCCTGCGACGGCCTGAAGCGCCAGCGTCTTGTGGCGCCCATGGTGAAGGACAGCAAGGGCGACCTGCGCCCCTGCGAGTGGGAGGACGCCCTCATCGTGGCCGCCACCGCCCTGCAGGTCACTAGGGGCAGCAGGTTACTAGGGGCAGCAGGTCACTAGGGCGACATGTCACTAGGGGATGCAGGCCACATTAGGGTCTGTTGGGATGCAGGCCACATTAGGGTCTGTTGGGATGCAGACCACATTAGAGTCTGTAGGGATGCAGGCCACATTAGAGTCTGTAGGGATGCAGGCCACATTAGGGTCTGTTGAGATGCAGGCCACATTAGGGTCTGTTGAGATGCAGGCCACATTAGGGACTGTTGGGATGCAGGCCACATTAGGGACTGTAGGGATGCAGGCCCCATTAGGGACTGTAGGGATGCAGGCCACATTAGGGACTATTGTTAGGGATGCAGGCCCCATTAAGGACTGTAGGGATGCAGGCCCCATTAGGGACTGTAGGGATGCAGGCCACATTTGGGACTGTAGGGATGCAGGCCACATTAGGGTCTGTTGGGATGCAGGCCACATTTGGGACTGTAGGGATGCAGGCCACATTAGGGTCTATTGGGATGCAGGCCTCATTAGGGACTGTTGGGATGCAGGTCACATTAGGGACTGTAGGGATGCAGGCCACATTAGGGACTGTAAGGATGCAGGCCACATTAGGGACTGTAGGGATGCAGGCCACATTTGGGACTGTAGGGATGTAGGCCACATTAGGGTCTGTTGGGATGCAGGTCACATTAGGGACTGTTGGGATGCAGGTCACATTAGGGTCTATTGGGATGTAGAGCTCACTTCATTCTACCTTGATAGTTGAGGCCTTTCTCAAAATTCCATTTGACTTCTCTCAAAAATTTACATCAGTTTGCCAGATGTTTGATCTTCTTTTAAGATGTTTAAGTAGATTATTTCTTGCAGTTGAATCGTATTGAGTAGCTGCATTATGATTCAACTATTTTTCAAAAGCCTTGTCATTTTTTCAGTGCAGAGTTTATTAAATTTGGTGTTTGTAAATTTGATTTGTAACGCTCTTCAGGAGGCGAACGGGAGTGTCGCTGCAGTGGCAGGAGGTCAGGCTGACGCTGAGGCCCTCACTGCCCTCAGGGACCTCGTCTACAGGCTGGGCGGCCAGCACGTCTGCACTGAAGAGGTCTGCTCTGGTGATCGATTAAACTTGATCCTGATTTAAATCATTTAATACATGTATTAAATACTTGTATTTCTGCAACTAAACATCCTACCCTGAAATGATTGAAAATGATTACAAAATTCCTACAAGACCACTGAGCTGCCTTTGCATCGAGACTCCAGTCATTGACTTATGTTTAAAAGGAAGGCTTGGTACAGTAAAAAATATTGACAGTTCAACATTATCTACTATCTACTCTCAGTCACGTAGAAGTTAAAATCTTATGTATAGTCTTGGTGTACTGTTTGAAGAAGAATTATCCTAATTAATTTCGTTAATGTTTGGAAGAATCCCCCGTAATTATGGCCAACCTATCGCCCTGTAATAATCGAGATGTCTTGCGCAGGTCTTCCCCGACAACGGCAGCGGCACCGACCTGCGCTCGAACTACCTGCTCAACTCCAGCATAGCGGGCATGGAGGAGGCCGACCTGGTCGTCTTTATTGGCACCAACCCCAGGTACGTGGTGCTGGTGCTGCCTTGTATGTCACCAACCCCAGGTGCGTGGTGCTGGTGCTGCCTTGTGTGTCACCAACCCCAGGTACGTGGTGCTGGTGCTGCCTTGTTTTATGTCACTTTTATCTTTGTATTTCTGCTCACTATTCCAATACAGGGTCATCAATATTTAGCGTTACATTGTTTTTTCAAAATCAATACACTCGCAAAACAGTCGAATGTGTCGTATGGAACCATGTCGACTGTTCTCCGGAAGGACTTAAAGTTGTCCCCATTCAAACCTGACAAAAAACACCAACTCTCTGCTCAAGTTGTTGACAAACGCCTCCAAAGATCCATGATTCTTCTTTCCCGCATTCATGTTGGCACGTTGCCAAACGTCGTTTTCAGTGATGAGAAGATATTCAATGTTGAACACCACTTCAACTCCCAAAATGATCGAATTTGGTCGAAGAATGGGACGAAGGATCCCGTGTGGTGGCTAGGAAGCAATGCCCGACCTCAGTGATGGTCTGGGCAGTCGTAACGGAGTGAGTCCTCAAGGAGTCTCCTCTTTTTTGTTGACAAAGGGGTGAAGTTGAATCAGAAGAACTATATAGATGCCATCCTTGTTGGTGCATTGGTGCCTGTAATGAGTTCAAGTTCAAGTTCAACTATTAGTTCAAGTTCAAACGGACGAGTTTATTGATTCATTGACGGTAATTTCCAATTGGGTGTTTGGGTCATTAGGCTTGGTCCAAGTTCAAAGTTTTATTAAAGTAGAACAGTAGAACAGCAGAACAGAGCAGAGGAGGGAAGTTCTCCTACAAATAAACACGCATTTCATTAAATTAAACACTAATAACTAGATAAGTACACAATATTCTGAACATATTCTCACAGTTATTCTACTACAAATTATAGAAGCTAGAGGCTTACCAAGAGCAAGAACACAAGCGGCTGTCTTCAGTAAGGATCAACGAATGGCCAAACCGTAAAACAAGTCCATCCAATACTTTGGTCGATGTTGCCAGAACATCTGCTTTAAAATTTCTAGAACTAAAAATCATTACAGTGCCCTGGGCACGAAAGCACTTCAAAAAACGTCCCTGGTCGTTCCAGCAGGACTCTGCACCGTCCCATGGGGCCAAATCGCCTGAGGAGTGGCTGTCCGAGAATGTTCCCCACTTCATTACCAAAGATGAATGGCCCCCATCGTCACCCGATCTGAATCCTCTGGATTTTGGGATCTGGTCATACCTTGAGAGCAAGGTCTCGGCCGTTCACCATAGCAGTTTGGACGCCCTAGAGGTCAAACTGCTGAAGGAGTGGGCCAAAATCACACAGAGCGTCATTCGTGACTCGTGTAAGGCTTTCTATAAGCGTCTACAACTCGTTATTGATGCAGATGGTGGACATATTGAATGAAATTGTGGGAATTGTTTCTCTGAACCTCTGCCTGCATGAACACATATTCAAACATTCACAATTGTGTTTCATTTCATAGTTCTAACCACTCAAAATTGTAACGCTAAATATTGATGACCCTGTAAAGTGAGCTTCATTCTTCACTAAAAGTCTCTCCTCTTATTATTGCTCCAGGAATTTTGTAATGCTTTTACCGAGAATATTTCCAATGTGTGTTTTCACGAGATATTTCCAGTCAGTGATGGCTTTGCTTGTACTAGTAATCAAGTGTGGAACTGAACGCTGACTGTGGCACATTGATGGCAATGTTACGGTTGATGTGACGTAAACATCAACCGTAACTTTAATCGCGTGACTGGTGTTGTGATAATTTCTTTATTGAGTGGGGTTACTATTGCTGTCGTTATGCAGCACCAACGCCTCTATTGAACGGAGGTACAATTTACGTTTTTATGTATTATAATCTATCAAATTTATCATAATTTAAAATAATATATATATATAAGAAATATATCATAATGGTATTAATATAAACATAATAATACATAATAATTCTATACTAGTATAAATATTAATAATCTGAATTATCGTGCAGCACCTCGGCGACTCGTCGGCGACCGTGGAGCAGCTGTGCGCAGGCACCCACGCCTTCAGCAGCAAACTAGCGGCAGCCAAGCGCCCCATGATCATCGTGGGACAGGCGCTGCTGGGCCAGTCCCAGGGCGGCGTGCTCTATGCCAAAATATGTCAGCTTGCCAATAAAGTGAGCCTCTTCCTTTTGAAATGACCGTATTATCAAAAGTTGATTATGTATTACTTACATTTTGTTATTTAGTAGCAGGCTAAATACAGATACGGTAGTGTCCTAAGTATGTCAGCGGCTTATATACACATACCTGCTTTAATATAAATATAAATACCTGCCTAAGTACATGTCCCGGCCACATTAAATTAAAGAGCCTTAGTACACGTAACGGCGTAAGTGATCGTAGCGGCCAATTACTACTCGTCTGTGATTGGTAGTAGAGGGTCGCCAGAAAAGCATCTTGTTTCTCTCAAAGTGGCTGTGAATCTTCTGCCTTGAAGAGAAATGTTCAATCCTTCTCTTTCCGTGGGCAGCTGCAGGGTTCTTTTTGTTTGATTCCTAACACTTATTGTCTGTACGGGCAGCTGCGGGGTTCTTTTTAGCGCATTTTCTCATTTATGGGAAAAATGCACTATTGTGCCCGGTCTGTCCGTCCGTCCATCCGTCCGTGACCTCAAGTTTTCGTCGACGAGAAAATGCGCTCTCTGTCACTCACAGCAGTGAGTACTGAGTTATATTTTTCGTTTAATTCCTAACACTTATTGTCTGTACGGGCAGCTACGCGGGTCGGTGGAGCCCTCATGGCGGGTGCTGAACGTGCTGCACCGCGTCGCCAGTCAGGTCGCGGCGCTGGACCTGGGCTACAAGGCGGGGGTCGCCGCCGTCAGGCAGCAGAAGCCTAAGGTCTTGTTCCTGCTGGGGGCCGACGAGGGCGCCATCACGCGCAGCGACCTGCCTGCAGACACCACAGTCATCTACCAGGTGCCCGGAATTGTCGTAACATCTACCGTCAAAATAATGAATGTNATAATGAATGTGCACTTCAAAATTATTTATGTTTAGTTATAAGAGCAAACTCAGTTTTGCTACTTTGAATTTTTGTGCAATTTCCCATCAACGTCGGCGTGTGTTTATTAGTATTATTAAATTATTGATTTTTATGTGATTTTGTGACAGGGATCTCATGGGGACGCAGGAGCAGCGATGGCGGACATCGTGTTGCCGGGTGCCACGTACACGGAGAAGACCGCAACTTATGTCAACACGGAGGGCCGCGCCCAGACTACCCTGGCCGCCATCACGCCCCCAGGCTACGCGAGGGAGGACTGGAAGATTATCAGGGCCATCAGCGAGGTCCTGCTCTGTGTATTTGTTCAGATATTATAATGAGTATAGTATAAAAAGTATAATGATAGTATAAAAAGCAGGCTCTGGTCTTCTATCAAACTTGCATAAAAGAAAAGCTTCTGCCGAACTACACCAATTATAATATAATGAGTGTATTATTGTCATTATTACTATTATTGTTCTTGGTGATTGTTAACATACTTATTATTATTATTGCTTTATTGACGCATAAGCTGCCAGAGTAATGACACTGGTCCTGACTCGCCACCCTGCTGAGAAGTATATAATTTTGGTTATATACGAGTACCGGTATATAAATATTTGTTTTTGAGTGCCTGTCTTAATGTGTTTTTATTTGAACTTTTTGTTTTGATCTTTATCACCACAAGACATTGACACATTGTGTCGCAGATTATCTTTCCATGTCTGCTGCGGGATCACTGTTACATGCCAAATTTATCGTTGATTACGAGATTGTTGCCCATGTTAATGAAACGTATTCATGTTGAGATCGAGCATAACGGGAAGGTTTAAGAATTTTTTCATGCCCAAGTAGCATGACGTTGAGAATCATTGGATGTATTGAGAATATAGTCGCGATTACCTAGGCATGACGTGAAGGTTTTAGAATGCATTGGTATTGAGAATGTATTAATGGAAACTTCTCATTTATTCATGTAACGCATGAATGTTACAGAGTGTGGGCGCTTAGAATGCATTGGTATTGAGAATGTATTCATGATAACTTTTCATATATTCATGAAATGTTGTAGCACACGAAGAACCCATGAATGTTATGTTACAGAGTGTGGGCGCTGCTAGGGTGGACGGGTCAGCGGTGCTGCGACCAGCGCTGCTGCAGCTCGAGGACTACTACATGACGGACGTCGTCTCCAGGGCCTCCCCCACCATGGCCAAGTGCATCGCTGCCGTCAAGAAAGAAAAGTCTAATAGATATCATTCTAAATAATGAGAATTTTCTTGTTGTATGGTCGAGAAATGATATTTAGAGCAATAGAGGTTAACACGTTGACTCCGAAGTGGTACATATGCGTACCACGAAATGTATTTCTCCAGGACATAGTGGTACATAATTCAGGTTGCCTAAAAATGGCCAAATGCAAGAAAAAAAAGCCAAAAAAGGCCGACAACTCAATTATATACTAGTTTATTTGTAGGTTTCGCTATAAAAATTCCATTTATTTTCTTCTTGCAGTATTTAAAATTTAATTAGGAAGTACCCCTATCATAAATTTTAGCCGGCTAACGCAATTGAGAAAAACTAAATCACGGAATTTGTCCGGGAAAAATGACCGTCTGGCAACCCTGTTCGAAAAAAGTACTAAAAATGAAATAATAGTACAAGATGAAGCAATCGTAGTCAACGTGTTAAGATGTTCAGTAGTCAGGCTGGCCGTGGCCAGGCACGCGATCCTGTGAGAAAGAAAGGCTAATAGATGCCAGCGGAAATATTGTAAATATTACTTTTTAGTCTCACTTAGATGACAAACATAGAATTGTCATGCTAGGAGGCATGGGTATGAATCCTGCTCACATCAGGTTCAAGTGGCGCTCTCAACTTGGTTACTTTTTTTTTTAATTTTTTGGACTTGGACTGCCGTGATATGTTATACATTATTCTGTTTAATTCATTTTAATTGTCTGAACATTTGAACAGTAGTTCGATGTGTAATAGTGGTAGTGTGGTAATGACGGCACTAGTATATCTTCAGGTCTCGAGCTGATTTGCTTCTAAATCTCTTCGGACCTAATTCAGTCATTCGAAAAAAATCCATTATTAAACACGCGATAATGACAAAACATTACAGAGATCTTCTTATCAATTACAATTTTTTTCATTAAAATCGAAATGCTATTCTAACGTAAGCTTTATCTAATTTATGTAGATCGGTTGTGTATATGAATATCTGTAAGCACGATGCTGCTAGCCGTTGAGTGTCGGTGCGGTGTGGGATGAAAGTTCCATGATCTGTAAATATAAGAGATCCTATCAGGATATCATTTCATTCCCTCTGCTGAGCGAACTACAAACGTACGCTCTGATCTTGTCTTAAGGAGGAGTTTTGCAGTGAAGGCATTACATTGATGGACAAAAATCACAAAATGCATCTAACGAGGATGTTCTGAACGTGCGGTGTTCTGAAAGGCAGGGTTGTGGGCAGTTAAAATTCTGGGTACCAAAATAGAAGCAGTGAGTTGTGTGTTCGATATCCGCAGCCAACTGTGAAAATGCTGTGATGTTCATAATCAGGGACAAGCCAACCTACATATCTTCAACTCTGACACCGCAATCATAATGATAATAATAATAATAGATAATAGCGGTTTCAGCGTTTATTAGGCCGTAGGCCTGTCGCCGATTCTTAACATCGCAGAACATTCACAGCTTCTTGCGGTCTCGAACTCGCAACTCACTGCTACAATTCTGCTATGCTTAACCGCCCGGCCTCCTTGCCGATTCTGACCAGAAACTGGAGCACAGAGCTGGGATCGAACCCGCGCCTCTCTGTGCCAATCTTGGTACTCTGAACTGTAACCACTGGGCCACCCTGTTAATGATTGTTAACAAAACTTTTTAATCTAAATTTGGAGCTATAAAATCTATTATAACTGGTGAGCCGGTGTGACAGAAGTGATTTAACTCTACTATGTGATATGTCGTCACAATTTATATGAAGGTGTTGGTCATTGAAAATAGTTGCTTTGAAATGCATGAATAGCTCAATCGTATCAAATTAAGTGACGATTGTTTGAGTTATTTTCGTGTAATTTTTTTTCAAAGATTTGGCCTCTTTATCATTTAAATGTACCCTGGATGGCTAAAAATCCAGTAGCAAAGACAATGTCAATATAAACCTCAGAATATGGGCTCAAATTTGAATATAAGGTGAATATTCTTGATATTTTCTCTGCTGCTATGTTTTTAAGAGATGTTCGATTTTAAAACCCATATTAATACCTTGCAGAAGGGTTAAGAACCAAATCATACTCTTAAATATGTTTATTATTTTATTAAAAATTATTATCATTGCTTGGAAGAACGTATCAATATCATATAGGTTATATACAGTCAAAGGCAGTACGCGTCACAATTTCCGATCAATTCTCCGCCATGGCGGATGCCCTGAAGAAGTTACGTCGCTTCGGACCAACCTTCAAGTATGAACTTCCTATTCAATTTGGAAATAAAAATGAATTCATACATGAAATTTATTTCCTTTGAGATTATATTTTATGTTTCATAGTTATTGAGACTTGCCAATCTTTATTTAGGTAAGGTTGACTTGTGTTTGCTGTCCCAGCCTTTTTTTATTCAGGTCCCAATAATGAGATAATAATGACGTTCAATCTAATCCAGAATTACAATATAGTTAATGAGATTTTAAACCCAATGATTTTGCTCCATTTAAATTTTCTTCACACCATCATCTTATTTTAATGCGTATTGATTTATTTTGAACATAAGACATTTGTTGTTTAAAAGACGAGTAACTATGATTATAACCGTCATTTGAAATAATTATGATCGCTCATATTTCCCACCGAAGTTCATATGGAAGTCAATGGTTTAAATATATAGGATATATATTTATATATATCCTATATATAATATATAGGATAAATCTGTTTCCCGCGTAATGCAAATAATATTTAAATTATAAAAATCGAAGTGTTTATCGTAATTTTATTCTTTATTATCGAATGTTTCGTCTACAAAATATTTCATAAATACTTTATCCTCTTCATCAAAGAAACGTTGCAATGAGAACCATCAGTCGTGTAGAGCAGATCGTATACAAAAATTGATGGCCAGAACCATTTATAATCATTTTAAGTGAGTAACGATAAAATGTAAACTCAATTTTTACTCATGGTTAAAAATTGTGAAAAATCTACATTAAAAAATTCACTCGTGCTATGCAGAGTGACGGAATTAGGCACACTTCCAGCATGAATTGTGGTGTAAAATTGCAATGAAATGCTGACGTAATTATAAGTTTATTTATAACAGCCGAAAATTTTTCTATTATATGGCCTCTCTAGGGGTGACTATTTAATAAATTGCTTTTCATATTAATGAATGATAAAAAAGGGCTTGGGTGTCGATCTTAATAAACAGTGAATTCGAATCGCTTTCAATTTGTTAGTTATTTAATTCTTCATTCTCGCGGACGACGTGAAACAGTGACGCACGATTAATTATAAAAGAAAACAATGTCGCTTCCAGATTGCAGAAACTTGATTCTAGGTTATAGTACATCTTATTCCCTTAGCCTGTGTCTGTTTCTGAGGCGAGACAGCAAGCTGGGGCGTGCAGGCTTTCGGTCAGTCTTTGCTTCCTCAGGCGGGGATCCTGCTTCGTCAGCGGCACCCACAGCACTTTCTTCAGGAGCTGCTACAGCTTCTTCGGCCTGGAGGGCGTTCTCGACCACGGCTTCCAAGTCTTCTGTGTGCAATTAATCAGTTTAAAAGTCAATAGAAATGATATTTAAATCATCGAGCTCGATCATATTTAGAAAATTATTTGCATAATAATGCAGAAATTGATTTCATGAAAATACAAAACATAACAGAATATGAGTCACGTCAACCCTACGTTGACTAAACGCATGAATAAAAAAATTATTTACCTGTTCTGATGTTAAGCAAAAGTTAGTTTTTTCGAAACTCAAGACATTAAATTATGTAAAGCTTAGGTCCAAAATCTCAATATTACCTGAAGCTTGTGCTTCTAATTCCACCTGCGGTCCGCTAGCGTCGAGTTCACCATCAGCGCCAACGTTCAGGGGAGGAATGGCGTCCTCAGGTAATACAGGAACGTCGTCGAGAAGCTCCTTTTCTTCAGGCGTTATTTCAGATGCTTGTTCTCCTCTCCGATGACTCGGTCTCCGCCGGTTCCCAAGCAGAGATAATCCTTTCCGAGCTGTTGACGCTGTCGTGGGCTTAGCCGTAGTCGTACCAGCTTCACTTTTGGTGGCAGGGCTCCGGCTACGAAAACGGGTGAATACTCCACCAGCGCTTTTTTTTCCAGGCGGTCGACGTCTTCCGTTATCTTCTTGTGGCTCGACTGAAATTTCTTCTGTTTGTGTTTCTTGAACAGGATTCTCTGGTTCAACCACAGCTTCTTCAGCTACAGCTTTTACTTCTTCTACAGCAGCTTCAGTTGTTGAAGGAGCTAAACTTTCGTCATGTTGGTCTCGTCCCCTTCCTCTTGTATTGAATCTTGCTGAGAGTCGATTTGAGCCTCGGCTTCTCAATGATTGGCGTCGGGAAGGGGCTTGGGTTGTCGAAGAAGTAATGATTGGCGATTCATTCTCTAGGGTAGCAACTATGTTCTTTTCGCTTGCGGGTTGATCTGAAGCTTCCGGAGCCGCATCTTCTTTTTCGCTGTCTTTTACTGAGGTAGTCTGTCGACGGGTACTTGTCAAAGGTCCTCGATTTGGGCGGCTTCTTGAGAATCCTCGTCGTTTTTCGGTTGTAGTTGAAGCTACGGTAGAAGTATGAACCTGAGGCTCCTGGTCGGCAATTTCTTTGCCGGCTAATGCGTTCTGATTTGAACTGGAGTCAACAGGAACTTCGTCTTCCTTTTCTTCTGTAATTGTTTCCTTGGCGTCAGATGGACGCCTTCCTCTTTGAAGTCTGTTAAATAATCTGTTTCTTCCTGGAGGAGTGGTCGTTTTTGATTTCTCAGTCTTTGCGTCAGGCGATTCAGTTGCTGTTGTTGTGGCGATAGCACTACTCGGTCTGAAACTCGGACGGCCGAATCTATTAGTTCGTTGAAATCCGGCTGCCTTTTTAGTCGTTGTGGTAGTAACCTCTGTCGTGGAATCTTCACTGTGAGCGCTTTCTTCTGGTTTTGGTTCATCACTTCTACCCGAAGCTTGACTTTTTGAGGAAGGTCTAAAACGGTTACTACGCAGAGGTGAAAAACCAGAAGAAATTCGACTGGACTCTCGCCTCGAACTTTGTGTTGTGGCTTCTGTTGTTGAGCTAGAAGTTTGTGCATCTGCTGCCTCTTCACCTGACTTAACCGTTGTTGTCCGAGAAGGGAAAGACCTCCTTGGTCCCGGTAACGGACTTCGGAAATTGTTTCTTGACCGGCTTCTAACCAAAGGGGTTTCACTAGTGGTCGTTGTTGGTTCCGGCGTGGTGGTAGTTGTAGTGGTAGTAGTAGTAGTAGTGGTGGTTGTAGTCGTTGGTGCTGAAGTAGTGTCTGTATAATCAGCCAACGTAGAGGATTCCGTAGCTACCTTTGAAAATTGATCTTTACCGTCGGCAACCTCATCATAGTCATAGTATTGGTCATAATCTAGAGGGGCAATTGTCAAAGTGTCTTGCAGGGCACTGGAAGCGGTGGAAGTTTCCGTTTCTTCAGCTTCAACAGCCTGCGAAAGAGCGTATAAGTTCACGAGGGAACGAGTGGCAGGAGAAACTGTTGTTGTTGACGAATCTTCTCGAATATCATCTTCAAAGGTGGCGACTTCACCCTGTGATACAGAGAGCGACTGTTCTGGAATTGATCCTACTAGAGGTATTCCAATAGCTCTGGACTGGGGCGGTGCTGGCGTACCTCTAGGTGGGAATCGTGTCTGAGTAGGTAATTTTGCGTCTACTACATTAATACTGTTGACGGAGTTCTCGTTCGTACTTGGCGTTTTACTTCTGGGAGGTACGACTGATTCTGATGTAGCGTCATCTGCAAGGGGCTGTCCTCTCGATCTACCTCTACTATTTTGTCTAGTAATAGAATTTTCTTGTACATCTACAGCGGGTTTGGGAGCCACGGACCCGCGACCTCGTGTGCGAGAAGAGGATCTAACAGCCGCCGGTGCAGCCGTTGTCTCTACCGCAGCAGGAGCGTTCGTTGCAGACGTCACAACATCGGTTGCGGGAACATCGGGAATGTTGCCCACCACATCGTAATCACTCTCAGGCGTCTCATCGTCATAGTAATATCGGTATTCGTATTCGTACAGTTGCCCATTAACTTCCTTGATTTCAAATTTACTTCTGTGGTTTGATTCAGCAGGAAGGAGGTTCCTGTCTTCTCCTTCAATGCCTTTACCGAAATCAAGATCAGACTCGTCAAAATATTTGCTGTAAAGTTCATTCGCAGCTGGGACTGCTGGCTGCTCGTCAAGACCAGCGGGCAAAATTTCAATGTTTTCATTTGGCCAGGAGTTTGAAGAAGTAGTTTTGTCATAGTTTGCGTATTCGTCATTCTGTGGAGTGGTTTCTGCTTGATTGATCACTTCTGGAGCTAATGTGACAGAGCTCATTTCGTCTTTCGCAAGAGCAGTAGGTTCTGCCTTGGGTATAATTTCCGTGTTATAGTTGATCGCAGACTGATTTTTTGGTTGATCAATATGTACGTAAAAAACTTCACCATCCCGAGCTGAAACTACCGAGTTTTCATTGGCGCCACCAGGCTTTCCAAACCCTACAAACTCTTCGCCTTCAACTGGTTCAGTTATGAGAATAACTTCTGAATGAGGTTTACGTTTGGTTTCAAGGTTCCCTCTAAGGAACGATACGAATTCTTGACCGGGTCTGGGTCTCGTGATGACCCTAGGTTCCCTCGGCTCATTGACGACAGGGGTAGTGGGGGCTTCTTCATCTTGCTCCACCGACGGCTTGGTGGTGACATCCGGTCGGCGACGCAAAAGGGAAGGCCCTCGGTTACCGACCGTCCTCCTGAATTCAGGAATTTGAGAACGGGTAGGAGGAGCCTGTCGTGCCGAGTCCTCAGATGCGTGAACCAGGCTCACGACAATTGCGGCCAGCACGATGAACAGCCTGAAAAATAAAACATTATTGTTAGCAGATACTACAGAGGAAAGCGCGCCATATATTGTCATTGATCAGAGATTGTTTCGCTGCACTTAATGAGAATAGATTGTTACGGCTGCAAATGTTAGAGAACACGTTTAGATCGTTAGTGTTGGTAAAATCTGAGTTACGGTTTGGATTCTGCGGTCATCTGGTCAGAAAATTCGACTCTTAAAGTAAATTACTTATTTATTATCAGTCAACAAATTAACGGTCATTTATGATGACCTCATGCTTGTGAGATCACTTTTGGTGCCTTGTAAATAAAGTAACGGTAGTGAACTAGTACAGGACCTACTGAGTCGAATGATAAGCAACTATAGAATGCACTAGTCTTCTCCGTCAAGTTTAGAGCAACGAGTTCGAAACCCGCAACGACTTGTAAAAATTTTTCGTCGAGATCAACGAGGTGATAGAGTTTAAGAAGCGACAACAAGCAAACATTGCGGAATTAGAGCGAACATCGATATCTAATATTATTTATTATTTAAAAATTGCATCAACTTTTTACATAAATATTTTTAGTTCACTGCATTTTGCCAACTGTTGTATATTTTAAGTGATTTGTATGTGCGTGTCGAAGGCGCCCTTATGATGAGTTCGGGACATCGAGGCTTGTGGCGCTTGACTATCTCAACTTTTGAGGCTGAGCCGAAGTATGCAGACAGAGGTTCAATAGAACTGCTGGCGCCCTTATGATGAGTTCGGGACTTCATCGAGGCTTGTGGTGCCTGACTATCTCAACTATTGAGGCTGAGCCGAGGTATGCAGGCAGAGGTTCAATAGAACTAACTGCCGCAGCGACGCCTCCTGCAGCGGCAGGCGGTGAAAGCTCTACGCGCTGCGCTGAAGGCCGAGCTGACATGCTGACCTGATGCTGCCACAGCTGACAGCGTAGCTGCTGATACAGTGAGTGTTGCTGACGCTGCTAGTGCTGCTGACACAGCGCATGCTGCTGCATCCATGCTTCAGTAAGGGCTGCTGATGCTGTACTCACATGGAGAGGTTGATGAAACTTTTGAGTGATAAAGCTTTGAAATTTTAAGCTTGCCATCATTCCTTGCCTAGAAACTCGATGCTCTTAAACTTGTCATCATGCTATGCCCTGTAACATAAATTGATGCTCTGGGCCAGAAACAATTTCATCTGTTTTTATGCGATAAGGTAAATTTTTTATGCGCAACATCTTAAATTATTCTCAGCTATACTGCTCCCGAAACTTGATCGTCGTATTAACGGTGGAAATTCCTTATACAAGTGAGGCACATATGGAACAAAATCTGCAGGACTCTATCGCAACTTCTGCATTGAGCGATTAGCGATTGAGCGAATTAGCGATTGAGCGAATTAGCGATTGAGCGAATTAGCGATTGAGCGAATTAGCGATTGAGCGAATTTGCGATAGCGAAAAGCGATTGAGCGTGGCACAAATTTTATTATTCGTTGCAGGAATAAATAATTTATAACTTAGGTTTGCGGTCAGGAATTCAATAGGATATATTTTTCATGGCTTTATTGAATCTTGAAAAGCCAGAATCGGTTATTCTCAAATAGACAGTCCGCGAGCATCTGGCTTGGGCTACGAAAAAATTTGTAATGCTGATAAAGCGCTTTTATGTTTTTGATTGTATTAGAATTTTAATTTATTTCTCACGTAATTCAGCACCAAATTTACTGACTAAGTTACATGACGATAAATTGTTTATTTAGCCAGCAACTTTTTCAGAATCGAAACTGGAAGTGGGGACCAATCCGAAGAACAGACGAATTTCGAGTGACTTGCAATCAGTCCTGATTGTTCGAGTCAATCTCAAGTCAAAACTGAGAGTAAGGACCAATCTAAAGAACAGGCGAAATTCAAGTGACTTGCAATCACTCCTGATTGCTCGACGCAATCTAAAATCAAAACTGAGACTATATAGGGACCAAGCTACAGAACAGGCGAAATTCAAGTGACGTGCAATCAGTCCTGATTGCTCGACGCAATCTAAAATCAAAACTGAGACTATATAGGGACCAATCTAAAGAACAGGCGAAATTCAAGTGACTTGCAATCAGTCCTGATTGCTCGAGTCAATCTCAAGTCGCCGGCGGATGAGTGTGAAAGTTTCCTGCTGGCGGAGGTCGGAGCGTGACTTCGGAGCGCCGTCCTCAGGCCAACTCGTGAGCCGCTGCCTCAGACTTCGCGGTCACGAGGCGAGCATGGCGCTGTAGTCTGTATTATTTATTTAATTTTGAAGTCGATTGTTTCGGCGAATAGATTTTAGTAATTTTTCGTTCATTTTCACCGGAAAAATGCTCGTATTGTGTGGATGTTTGATAATATTTTGTTGGGAACTCACTGTGAAGGATTGAACCATCATTGGAAAATTTATTTAGGATTTATTTGTGATTTATCCGGGATTTATCTGGGATTTATCTTCTCATAATAACTTTTAACTCTTAATAAGTCAGGCCATTTTTAACTTCAATATAATGGAATAATCTTATCGAGAGCTCAACGCCAAAACCTGATTTCTGTTGACTAAAACAATTTCAAACCAAGACCGCGCAACCGTCGCGTCAACAGGTTGAAGAGTTTCTTCAACCACCGGCAGTTCATCAAGCTTATTTCAGTTCACTGGCACCATTAAGGTTATGACATTAACGATTATGCCTGCACTCAGAAGGATGAATGGGTCATATTGTCCAATTAATGACACGATTCCTTCCCACATCATGGGCAGAAATATTACGTAGCACTGATGCGCTCTATAAGAGTGTTGAAGGCTGTGGCTTTTGAGAGTCTCACCGCCATCTCGAGACATGATGCCACGGATGTTGGTTGACAACATCCGTGGCATGCGCATGGCAGCTGCTGCGCCGGCATCAATACGTGTTATTTTGCCTGTGTCGCGCCGGCAACATTACGTGTTATTTTGTCTGCGCTGCGCCGGCATTATTACGTGTTATTTTGTCTGCGCTGCGCCGGTATCATTACGTGTTATTTTGTCTGCGCTGCGCCGGTATCATTACGTGTTATTTTGTCTGCGCTGCGCCGGCATCATGACGTGTTATTTTGCCTGCGCTGCGCCGGCCGCAGAGTTGCTGAAATTTCCACGTGCTGAAGAAAAGTCACGCGGCGCTTCTTACGACACAGCCTTGACTGCAGGTCACAGACTGCGGGACAGAGGCGGCGAAATTTCAGGCGCCCTTAAGTCTGGAGACGACCTTCGTGACCCTGACTCAAAAAAATAAATAGGTTAAACTCTCTAAATAATGACACTTTCTTTCCCATAGTGTGAGCATAGCGCCGACATAGCACTAACAGGATTTTTTGTCGGGCCAAACTGGGTGAGGACAACTAAGGCGCGTGCGGAAAATGCATCGCTATTAAAACGAACGTTCACTCATCGATGTGACTCCCATGCAGCACGGCGAGGGCAGAGCGAGGGTCGCCCTCTGCAAAATAATCCTCGAGAAATGTGTTGCATAAAAAGATATCGCAAGCGCGCCATGAAATACTAGAACTGTGCGAGAGGTCGTCGGGGCATTTGATGATGGTGCTTGAAGGAGTTGCAGGGACCTTTGTTTGAAGCGGCGAGAATATGGTTATTGAATTGAGGCTCGATAATATGATTAGGCAATTTATATATATAATCTAATTTTCACGCAGAAGTTACATTTAACCCTTCGTATGAGATAAATTATTATTCGAATTAAACCTGTTACTTATTCAGAGAACGTATTAAAAACTAATTGAATTGAGGCTCGGTTATATAATTAAGTAATATTATGGAATGTATCGCAAAGAAATTACATTTAACCATTCGTATGAGATCAATAATTATTGTTCGAATTAAACCTGTTATTTATTCAGAAAACGTATTAAAAACTATTTATTTGTTTATAAAAATACTGACATAAATATATTTTATGAAAATATTAACTATTAAATATTGAATTGACATTTAATATTTTAATTGAATTTATACATTTATCATTTTAATTGAATTGATACCTTTATTATTTCAATTGAATTGATACATTTATTATTTTAATTAAATTGATACATATAATATTTTTGCGAAATTAAAAATAATTTTTAGATATCTACGAAAATTCATGTAGAACTGCACAGATACATTATCAATAAAGGTTATGCTTGGTGATGGCTGGGAATTTTGAGGAGGCAGGCAGCGTCACCTTCAGACCCCGATCGCGGGTTGCCCAACATCCATTAAATAAAGACGGTATAATTTGTGTGAAGGAATGCTGCAACAATTTCTGGAAGCGCGCGTGAGGTCACCACTTATTGCGTACAAATTCGTCGTAGTTGCTTAGTTAACATTAATATTTATTTACGTTGAACAACTGTAACTTGGAGGATTCGGCGCATTCAAAAACGCTTTAGCAACGGAACGTTCTACGAGGGAGACAAAATTGCCTCCAGACTGAGATGTCATAATGTTTTTGAGTACTGCACTTGCCCTCTGCTTCAGACTTACCTAGCTGCACTTTCTTACGCCAAAAATATAAGAAAATAAAAGCACAAATCTAAACTAAAGTTCGTATAACTATACAACGACAGGTGCTAAGATACTAACTATACTGAGGCACTAAGATTCATTACGTGACATTGCTTCTTAGTTCTTGCGTGTGACATAAATTGTTGCTATAACATTTCTACGCTAGATATTTAAAAAAATATGGGTGCGCATGCATGGTTTTTCATAGAACATGAATTGTTTAATATAAAACAACTGGAGTCGTCATAATTGTACATTTCACAGGTTGAGCCAAAACTGCAAACGAAGTTTGTTATCAAAAATTAAGTGGAGGAGAGGACGAAACCCTGGGTCATGGGAAGCTGCTTAGAACTTGTTTCCAGAACTAGTCTTCAGAACTAGTCTCCAGAACTAGTCTCCAGAACTTGTCTCCAGAACTAGTCTCCAGAACTTGTCTCCAGAAATTGTCTCCAGAACTTG